ACGTATCAACCTCACTTAGCAACCACTGCGGTGATCCAAGCAACCCCCTCCTCCCGGTGACGCGGGGCGCTTCCCCAGGACGGGGCGGCTCAGGAGGGCTGGGGGGGGCGGCGGCCAGGTAGGGGGCACGGCTCCCGTTCTCCGCCAGGGCAAGGCCCAACCCCTCAGGGTGCGCAGCGGGCGACTCGAGAGCTGGACACCTCAGCCCCCCCAGGCAGGACTGCCGCCCCAGACATCCCAGGACCCACACATGCCCGATTGTTGTGACTTGGTCATGCTGCGCCGTCCAAAACATGTACCTGGTACGTCGCCCGCCCGCACCCGTAGCGCATGCGACGTGGGGCGGCAGCACAGAAGACAACGATGATGGGAAACTGATGCAAGTCATGATTTGACATGCCAATGAGCTTACATGGTGCAACCTCGTTTCGCAACTGACACGAACGCTGACACATACATGACAAGGCCGAACATGATTGTCAACACACACCCACTGCATTATACTCTAACGCGAATGTGCTTGCGTGCCCTCACATGCGCATGCCAATGTATTGTCTACGGCGAACCCTCAGACCGCACCCCGCAAGATCGAGAAAGTGGGAGCGCGGCACGGGTTGTTGTATATCTCGTGCCAAAAATATGTGCATGACCTGATAGCTTAAACTTCCGCGGACTGCAGCTTCGCAGAGGTGCAGTCGACGAAATGGTGCGGAAGATGACTGACGATACATTCGCAATCTAAGCATCGTTATTAGCATCCTGGTATGCAAACCCGGTTGTGAAGCCACCCGTGTCCCGAGGTCACCCTGGGAACTGTGAACACCGCGGCAGGGGAGTCGGAGCACCTGATGGGGAACGATGCGTGCACACTCGTATCCTCAATTCCGCACCCGCGCGCACCTGCACTCGTACTCGCCTGGCTTTGGGCACGCAGAGGAGCTGCGTGCGTCGTCGTCGTCGTCGTCGCTGTCTTCGTCGCTGGGGTCGTCGTCGTCGCTGTCTTCGTCGCTGTCGTCGCCGTCGTCGAAATCGTCGTCGTTGTCGTCGCCGTCGTCGTCGCCGTCGCCGCAGTCGTCGTCGTCGTCGCCGTCGTCGTCGTCGTCGTCCAAGGCCTTTGGCTTACTGCTGAGGAGCGGCAGGTCCTCTCTGCCATTGTGCGCAACGTCGGCCCACGTCTTGCCCTCGCGGCCGCCGCAGGCCTGCGGGGTCACCGACAGGCTTCGCGGGCGGCACCGCCATGTGCAGAACGAAATCCGCTGGCCCCCTTGCGGGGCCACCAGGTTGCGAGGGTGAGGATTGCAGCTCCCTGGTCCAGTTGCAGCTTCCAGCTTCCACTGTTACAGTCCTGCTTTCTGCTTCCTTAATGTTAATTGTTGCTGAATGCGCGAGGGGGGGAGCCCCAAACCAGCTTGTTTACCACGCCCAGATCGCGTTGTCTGAATTCCTGGGGGGGCGTGGGACACATGAAAAATACAAAATGCTCGCGTCCCCGAGGCCATAATCCCTAATGAATTACGCCATGTTCGCGTCCCTGAGGCCATAAGCCATCAGAAATTATGCAAGATTCGCGCCCCCGAAACCATAATCCCATGTAAATTGCACGATCTGTGCGTCCCCGAGGCCACACACCTTCTTGAATTACGCCATGCTTGCGTCCCCGACGCCAGATACTTGAGTAAATTATGCAATGTTCGCGTCCCCGAGGCCGTAAACCTGCGTAGATTATACAATATTCGCGACCTCGGGGCCATACACCAAATTAAATTATACAATATTCGCGCCCCCGAAGCTATACAACCTCGTAGAGTACGAAATAGCTGCATTTTCAAATTCGCGTTATCGAAATTGTAAATTCGTAAATTTCGCAATAGTCGGAGTTGTGAGATACTCCGCAATTTGTGAAGTCCCGACATTGCTTCACGTCAGCGTCCAGACATCCCAACACAGCTCTGGCAAGTCCCATTCTAAGAGAAGGGGGGCCGGCGGCATGGGGGCGAAACCCTTACGGATGGATGGCAGAAAATCCACCCGCGATAATAATCACCCCGACGGCCGAAGCAGCTTAGCAACCGCACCCAACAAAGGAATCGAACAGGGCAAGGCTGTCAAATAAACGCCCAGGGCCGATTGGTAAACGTCAACTGTCGGGTCCGGGTGGTTGTCCCTCCCTTGACGAAAGCTCCGATGATCCGCTACGCAATGTCAAGACAACACGTGCAAAGCCAGCTGATCATCTGATCAAGAAAATGATCACTCAAGAAACCTGGGCCAGCTTCCCAGGAGTTTCTCAAGACAAGCCTGGGCCAGGTGTTCGTGTTAACACTAGAGGGGCGAACGTGCACCAGAAACTGGGCCAACTTTCTGGCAAATGGATTAAGAAACGCTGGCCCATCTCTTTCGGGAAGGATATTTCTTAATCAACTGCTCGACTGGAAGAGCGTAGTGACCCCCCGCGCATCTTCTGATTAATAAGCCGAGCCTCAAAGAGCCGGCATCCTCTTCACCACGCGGCTTCCGACAAGGAGCCCACTGTTCCCCAAATGTCGCTGCCATTGATCTGGGGGTCTATCCCGCACGGCGGGACAAGCAGGCACGATGGGCTGCCCGAAACCCGGAAAATGAGGGGGATTATGCGGAGAAGGAGCGAGGGTAACTAGCCCTTCTCCATTCTCCATCCGTCGCTACCATACAGATGCAATGGAACATATCGGGAACCCTCCGAAAACATCCGAGGAAAACGAGAATCCCCGAATGTACTTGACAAAACGTACGGAATGCTACGAACACCTCGTGCGCAACAACATCCACCAACAATCCAACACTTTAGAACCCCTTCTGGAACCCTCCGGCATCCTCCGAACATCATCCGACAACCCTCCGAAACCCGTCCCAATCCCTCCGAAACCATCATGAACAATCATGAACGACCCACGAATCCGGAAACAAATATCCTGGCGAAGGACCCAACCATTGCAGTTGTGGGTACCGCAAGTGTGAGCATCTTCTTCGGTGGCGATCCCTTTGGGGCCACGAACCGCATGAGGGGTGTGCCGAATTGCGTGGCGGGGTACACAATACGAACGAATATGATAAGTCGAACTACTAGAGACTGAGCGCGGGTTGGTCTGAGTGCGAGTGCGTCTGAGGGTGAATGAATACGCGTGGAGCTCCCTATGGGGCCACGAACCGTGTGAGGGGTGTGCCGTCAAGGGTTGAGATGCCGCATGCGAACGCACCCACTGTGGCCTTCGGTGGAGCTCCCTTTGGGGCCACGAACCGTGTGAGGGGTGTGCCGTAATGGGCGGCGGTGGCGCATGCGAACGCACCCACTGTGGCCTTCGGTGGAGCTCCCTTTGGGGCCACGACCCGTGTGCGGTGTGTGCCGTAATGAGTGGCGGTGACGCATGCGAACGCACCCACTGGGGCCTTCGGTGGAGCTCCCTGTGGGGCCACGAACCGTGTCAGGGGTGTGCCGAACTGATGATGATGGTGATGATGATGACGATGATGATGGTGACGGTGATGCTGATGATGGGGATGCTGATGATGGGGAGAGGGTGAGGGGGCAGCAGGAGGAAGGACGCGGGCGCAGTCTGTTCAAAACGAGGACCCAACACCACAGGATGGTTGGGAAATATACATATATGGAGATAGATAGATAAATGCATGCATGTATAGAACCATCAAGCCTGCATTCTGCCTCGTCGTCGCCCTCCTCATTCTCCTCCTCACCCTCCTCCTGTTACCCTTCGCCTCACGCCACGCGGCCTGCGAACGTGTCTCATTGCCACATATCGGTGTTCCGTGTCTTCCTGACGCAGAAAGCCGGCTTGCCCCTACAAGACAACGAGAAGGACTAAACATAGGACGCGCAGCGGGACGTGCCAGGGGTGCGCCAGGGAATGCACCAGGGGACGTGCCAGGGTACGAGCCAGGAACGTATCAGTGGACGCGCCAGGGGATGCGCCATGGACGTGTCAGGGAAGCACCAAGAAACGTGCCCAGGGACTTACCATGGGACGCGCCACTGGACGTCGCGCGCAACGTACCAGAGGACGCGCCATAAGGCGGGGGGCCATTTTCATAGAAGGTAAACAACAAAGAAAACCCTACTACATCCAGTGTCTTGTCCGCGACCCTTTCCTGGGATGAAGCACCGAACACCTACCGAGATCCCCCGAAACCCTGCCCAAAACACGTGCCGCCAATCATTCTGCGAACCCGTACGGAGCCACGTGACCATTCTTCAGCCCCCCCGGGACTCGTGTCTGGGGCCTTACGTCGCGTGCGCGTCCGGAGGGCGACGAGGAGCACCGAGGGAGTGGCGCCAAGGCGGAGCGGGCACGGCACGGGCAGGGCATGATGGCATCCATGCGTTTCTCGCGGTCTGGGCCTTCGGGCACGGCACGGCACTCGGGTGGCAACTCTCACATGCTGGAGCAGAGTGCTTCTTGCGTGCCACCGGGCCGCACAACACGGTCTCGGACGAGCAGCGCCAGACACGCTGCAGAACCGTCCGAGAACATTCCCCCCGAACCCGCTCACGAGAACGTTCGAACACCTCCGCGCAGATCTTCGGGCATGAGAAAGCCTGAATCCTCCCAGGAGGCCCCCCTCCCCGCTGCCAGCACATACTACACTAGTCGCCAGGCAGAGTGGATGAAGGAACGCTGATGGCTGGTATGCCTTCCTGGGATCGAACGCGAGGGTCGACAGCCGCCCTCTGAGAACGGATGAAAGCCTTCGAAGGTCGATGGCCGTCTCCGAAGGTCCCCAAGAGAGGCCTCCAGAGGACCCCAGAGGCACAACAAACACACTCGACAACCTGTATACCACTTCACTCAGATGGCCGAGGGGGGTGCTAAGTGGATAAGGGGGTTACATCTGGCCTAATATGTCTTATACGTGGGTTACAAGAGCCCCAAGTGGTCTAGAGGGGTAAGGATATTGACGAAGTGTGCCCCGCGCGCAAAGCAGAGCTATCGACCCCCTAAGTCACTCAGGGCACCTGCAATCAGCGCATATAAAATCGATTGGGCCAGATATGACCCACCTTGGCATCCGCATCTACCCCCCCGTCCACCGAGCACCCCGCGCGGTGATCCAAACACCCCCGACCAACATCCGTTCAAACACGATCCCTGGGTCCTTGCCGGTGCCAGCCCAGGGCCGTGGCGACGACAATCTCAGAGGGGCCCCTGGCATCGAATCGACAAGTCGAATCCTGTCGACCCGCAAATCGGGCCGGCAGGACATCGACGTCGACCGGCTGGCGGAGCGGAGTGGGGAAGCGCCCTGGAGCCTCCGCCCCCGTAGGAGATGTCCCGACAAGACGGCGCCGTCCTCGACTCCTCCATCCTCCACAAAGCCGAGCGTCCAGAATTTCTGTTGCTAACGCTGTAGGGGCGAGCGTGCTTAAGAAACCCTGCCAGCCTTCCAGCAAGTTGGTCAAGAAACGCTCGCCCAGTTCTTCGGCAGGAGGCTCCGCACCGTGGGGCCACTCTCCTGAGATCCTCGACCTCCCCCGTGCACTCCCCGCCGCTCGGACGCCCACGCCCCGTGCACTCTTCGGCTGCGTGCGCACACTCTCTCTCGCTCGACGAACCCAGGGTGCTCCTCGAGGGCCCTCGCCGACTAAAAAAATGCACACGCTCGCGAGCGACGCCAAGCCAACGTGGGAGGCCTGGAAATGGGCACCAACACCAAGACAGAGGGCTGCCTCCACTGGGGGGAGGTGGTCCTAGATGTCGGTGTTGGTGGTAACATTTCGGCCACCTTGGAAGCCAGAATACTACCACCATCACCGAGATCGGGGTCTTCTTCCCTCGGTGGAGGAACACCGCCGATCTTGGTGTTGGTGTCAACCTCTATGAGAGAGAGCGCGCCCACAGGGCCCGAGCAAAGGGGAGGGGGGGCTCGGCTTAAGCTCCCCCCCCTCCCTTGAGCCGCCCTTGTTGGAAGCACCCCCCCCTCCCCCCCTTTGTTTTGCAAGGCGGGGGGGGGCTTACAGCTACCCCCCCCCTCCCCCCTTGGGCCCTCCCCGGAAGCTACCCGGAAGCTACCCCCCCTCCCCCCCTTTCCGAAGGGGGGGGGTGCTTAAGCTACCCCCCCCCCCTCCCTTGGCGCCGCCACTGCTGGAAGCTACCCCCCCCCCCTTTCGTGCAAAACGGGGGGGGTGCTTGGAAGCGCCCCCCCCCCCTTTTGGCCGCCCCGGAAGCTACCCCCCCCACCCCCTTGCGAAAGGGAGGGGGGTGCTTAAGCTACCCCCCCCCCCCCTCCCCCCCTTTGTGCCAAAGGGGGGGGGGGGGGCTTGGAAGCCCCCCCCCTTCCCCCCTTTGGCCGCCCAGCCCCCGGAGCCTCCGCCCTCCCTTCGCCGACGATCCAAAATGAACAATCCACGATCGAGGATGGACGATCGACGATCAACGATCGACGATCGAAAATCCCAATCGAATCGCTTGCAATCGATTGCACTCCATTCCACTGCAATCCCCCTCCCCACCTCCCTCCACTCCCTCCCCTCCCTCCACACCCTTCGTTCCATCTCCTCCCTCCCCTCCCTCTCCTCCCCTCCCTCCCTTCCGTCCTGTCCCTCCCCTGCAATCCAATCGATTGAATCGATTGCAATTCAACCGATTGCAATCCAATCGGTTGCAATCCAATGGATTGCAATCGAATCGTTTGCAATCCAATGGATTGCAATCGATTGCAACGCAAGTGTATCATTCAACTCATCCCGTGCCAACGCCCGGGAACGAAAAATGACCCTGGCGACGTACCCAACCCCTGCGCAAACGCGGGGCGCAAATAGTTTGGGACACTTTATAATGGGGGCGATGACGGAGCGAGGGTTACATATGCCTGCAGGCGGAATTCGGGAGACTCGCAGGTCACTGGCCTCAGGACAAGGACTAGATAAAGCTGATTAGTTGCAATCCCTGAGCAACCCTAGCCACTTCGAAATCGGGGATCTCAGATCGCAGCCCCCCAGGGATGGCGAGGTCTAATTTGGGTCCGCCCGTGGCGTCACTGTGCTGGGCCCCCCAGCAGGCCTCGAAAGTGGCGACAGTTTCACAGATCGCAGCCCCCCAGGGATGGCGAGGTCTAATTTGGGTCCGCCCGTGGCGTCACTGTGCTGGGCCCCCCAGCAGGCCTCGAAAGTGGCGACAGTTCACAGATCGCAGCCCCCCAGGGATGGCGAGGTCAAATTTGGGTCCGCCCGTGGCGTCACTGTGCTGGGCCCCCCAGCAGGCCTCGAAAGTGGCGACAGTTTCACAGATCGCAGCCCCCCGCAGGCAAGACAGGAGGAGGCAAGAGGGAGACGGGACGGGAAGGAGGAAGGGGAGACCACACTGCTCTATTCAAAACGAATGCCCAACCAAGGAGGGTTGGGACAAAATACTATTCCCCCCTCCGAAATTTGCACGAAGTGTAATTCGGAGAACGCCAGCCCGTCGGGTTTGGCAGTGTTCGGGTAAGACGGCGGCCAGCTGGGGGAGGAGGAGGCGGAGGATGGGGGAGGAGGAGGTGAAGGAGGAGGAGGAGGAGGAGGAGGAGGAGGAGGAGGAGGAGGAGGAGGGAGGAGGAGGAGGAGGAGGATGAGGAGGAGGAGGAGGAGGAGGAGGAGGAGGCGGAAGAATGAGGAGGGGAGAGGGCAGGGGAGGAGGACGGAGGAAAAAGGGAGGAGGAGGAGGAGGAGGAGGAGGAGGAGGAGGAGGAGGGGGGGAGGAGGGGGGAGGAAGGGAGGAGGAGGGAGGGGGGGGAGGAGGAGGAGGAGGGGGGGAGGAGGAGGAGGAGGAGGAGGAGGAGGAGGAGGAGGAGGAGGAGGAGGAGGAGGAGGAGGAGATGAGGAGGGGAGGCGAGGGAGGAGGAGGAGATGGAGGAGGAGGAGGGGAGGAGGAGGAGGAGGAGGAGGAGGAGGAGAGGGGTGGAGGAGGAGGAGGAGGAGGAGGAGGAGGAGGAGGAGGAGAGGAGAGGAGGAGGAGGAGGAGGAGGAGGAGGAGGAGGAGAGGAGGAGGAGGAGGAGGAGGAGGAGGAGGAGGAGAGGGAGGAGGAGGAGGAGGAGGAGGAGGAGGAGGAAGGAGAAAGGAGGAGGGAGGAGGAGGAGGAGGAGGAGGAGGAGGATGGGGAAACGAAGGAGGAGGATAACGAGGAGGAGGAGGAGGAGGAGGAAGAGGAAGAGGATTATGATGATGATGATGATGATGATGATGATGATGATGATGATGAGGATGATGAGGATGAGGATGAGGAGGAGGGAAAAATGAAGGAGGAGGAGGAGAAAACCGAGGAGGAGGAGGAGGAACGGAACGGAAGGACCCGCGGGGGAGTACGATGATGATAACGATGATGATGATGATGATGATGATGATGATGATGATGATGATGATGATGATGATGATGATGATGATGATGATGATGATGATGATGATAATGATAATGATAATGATGATGCTGATGATGGTGATGGTGATTATGATGATGATGATGATGATGATGATGATGATGATGATGATGATGATGATGATGATGATGATGATGATGATGATGCTGATGATGATGATGATGATGACTATGAGGGGGATGAGGAGGACGAGGAAGAGAAGGAGGCAAAAGGAAGAAGAGGAGGAGGGAGAGGGGCGGAAATAAATGGAGGCGAAAGGGAGGGCGATGGCTCCGGGAGCTGGGCGGCCAAAGGGGGGAAGGGGGGATGACGATGATGACTATGAGGAGGATGAGGAGGACGAGGAAGAGGAGGAGGCAAACGGAGGAGAAGAGGAGGAGGGAGAGGGGCGGGAATAAATGGAGGCGAAAGGGAGGGCGATGGCTCCGGGAGCTGGGCGGCCAAAGGGGGGAAGGGGGGGCGGAGCTTCAAGCCCCCCCCCCTTTTGCACCAAGGGAGGGAGGGGGGGGAGCTTCCAAAGCCCCCCCCCTTTCAAAGGGGGGGGGTGGCTCACCCCAGCTCCATTAAAAGGAGGGAGGGGGGGGGGTAGCTTGGAAGCCCCCCCCCCCTTTCCGGCCACGAAAAGGGAGGGGGGGGGAGCTTCCGAAGGCCCCCCCCCACCCCGGCTCAATTAAAGGGGAGGGAGGGGGGGGTAGCTTGGAAGCCCCCCCCACCCCCTTTCCGAACCACGAAAAAGAGGGGAGGGGGGGGGCTTCCGAAGCTCCCCCCTCCCTTTAGCAAGGAAGGGGGGAGGGGGGTAGCTTCAAGCTGGGCCCCCCCCTTTAGTCTATCGGGCCCCACGCGCGCGCGGGGCCCTGGGACACACAAATAAATAGACACAAACAATCAGATTCCCCATAGTTTCCTATAGTTTCTGGGTTTTCGTCTTCCCCCCCACTTCCTATATTTTCCTACATTTCCTGGGAATCGCCGATTCATTGTGTCTGTGTGTTTTTTCCCCTCCTGACTCTCGGCCTGCGACACCGTTCTCCCCCCTCCGCCCGCTGCCGCCCGGCCCCAAGGGAGGGGGGGGGGGGCGGCCTGCCCGCGGCAGCCCCTGCCCGTGCCCGCGGTCCGGGCCTCCCCCGCGCGCTGGCGCCCCGCGGGGCAGCTCGGCTTGTGCCTCCGCCGGCGATCGGCGCGCTCGTCGCCGTCGCCGTCGCCGTCGCCGTCGCCGTCGCCGTCGTCGTCGTCGTCGCCGTCGCCGTCGCCGTCGTCGTCGTCGCCGTCGTCGTCGCCGTCGCCGTCGTCGTCGTCGTCGTCGTCGTCGTCGTCGTCGTCGTCGTCGTCGTCGTCGTCGTCAGCGTCAGCGTCGTCGTCGTCGTCGACGTCTTCGTCGTCGTCGCCTGTTCATGCTCACTCTCCTTCTCCCCCGTCGCCATCTTGTTCCCAATCTCCTCCTCCTCCTCCAACTCCTCGTCGGCCTTGTCCTGCTCCTCCTCTTCCTGTCCTGTCCTATCGTATCCTCCTCTTCACTCCCAGCAGTAATTCCTCGACTACTCGCTTCGCACTGGGCGCCTTCCTGCCTTCTGGTACATGGGAGCGCTTCCGCATTCGCCTGAACTGTATTGAAAAACTCTGGTAGAGCACGCTCCTGGGGCGACTCGCCACTCGACGCGAGCCCAGAACAAGAAACATCGTCTTCCCGCTGAGGTTCTTGGCAGTGGAAACCACTGCGAGGGCAAAGGATGCACACCAGAAAGCACGCCTCGCGTCCGCCTCCACCTCCCCAGCTCCTTCCTCAGCTCCCTTGACGTTGGCCATACTCTAAGCATCGAGGCTCGCAACGCTCGTTTGGAACATGCACAGAACTTAACCGACTCAGGCGCGGTGGTCTACAAATGAGGCGCTGGTGGGTGCAGCATCAGGAGAACCAGGCGTGATGGGAAAAAGCCTCCCCGTCCTCCTCCTCCTCCTCCTCCTCCTCCTCCTCCTCCTCCTCCTCCGCGTCGGCCTCCGATTCCGCCTCGTGGCCCCCATCCCCTCCCTCTCGCGGCACGAGGAGCGCTGGACGAAGGACGACGGCAGCACGGGTGCGAGCACGCACGGCCACGCGCGGCGAGCGGAGAGCAGGGGGCCAAACTGGACGTCGGCTCCACGGGGGCAGGCACTGGGGCGGGTCTCCCTTTTTGCTCGTCCTCCCTTTTTGCTAGTTTTTTTTTGTTTCTCTCGCTCTCTCTCTTCCTCTCTCTTTCTCTCCTGCTGTCCTGCTGGATCATTTCCTCTCGTTTCCTCTTCCCTCCCCTCCTCACTTCTCCTCTCTTGTGTTAGAACGTATTAGAGTATCATCTCTTGTTTCCCTTCTCCTCTCTTCTCTTCTCCTTCTCTTTTCTCTGTGTTGCTTTTTTGGTTGTTTCTCTCTCTCTCTCTTTCTCTCTCTCTCTTTTTCTCTCTCACTATATGTATATACTTCTATCACTATCTCGATGTGAGGGCACATTCGCAATACCAGCGAGCCCGAACAGGTCGATCTCCCCAGTGTGTACATGCCCGCCCGCCCCCGCATGGCCTGGTCAGGAGCCGACATGCGACACAGATCTGGCCCACAACGGGCCTGTGTGAAGACTTGGCGGTCGTGTGTACTGCCTGTCTCTATCATGTACACACATGTACACAAACACTACATATACGCATGCATAAATAGGTGTTACGTGCGTGTGGCTAAACTATATACATCTAATATCCACCACCGTGACCTGAGGCACCAGTTGGAGTGTCTTCAGGTCGCTTGGCTTTCTCCGCCCCGAGACCTCAGGCGACTGTCCGGACCCCAAAGCCTCAAATCTGCCGGAGCGCGTCGCGTGTCCCCAAGTGTTTTCGCGCGACTCCTGCGGAGCTAACGAGTGCCCCAAGACGGGCCAGGAGGCCCTCGAGCGGTTGTGGGTAAAAAACACATGGCTGTGTGTGTGTGTGTGTTTGTGTGTGTGTGTGTGTGTGTGTGTGTGTGTGTGTGTGTGTGTGTGTGTGTGTGTGTGTGTGTGTGTGTGTGTGTGTGTGTGTGTGTGTGTTTTACCCACGGTGTGTTCTTTACCCACAGTTGTGTTTTTTACCCACAGACGGCCCAAGAGAGCCCACAGTCGCCCAACGATCGCTCCAAGACGCCCGAGCTGGCCTCCAGGCGGCCAAGGAGGCACCCAGGACGCCCCAAGGGAACTCCAAGACACCCCCCCGAGGAGGGCCTCGAGAGGCGACCGCCACTGATCTTCAGTAGGAAGTACTGCGGGATGACGATAAAGAGAACGATCTTAAGAATAGTTGCCCGCTCTTTCTGCACAATTTTCTGACTGGAGGAGAACGATTAAAACATAGTTTTCCAGCCCGCGGCCGGTTTTTTCTAATCGTCATCCCGGGCGCCGCCGCGTGAACATGACCCCCGGTCATTTATGAACCGTCATCCTCCATTATTTGAGCGTCCTCGCCCTGTTGGGCTTTCGACGCTCAAGACGTCCCAAGAGGCCTCCAGGATCGCCCAAAGACGGCCAAAGAGGCCCCCATGAGGGACACATGCAGCCCATGAGGGCCCGAAGAAGCCCAGGGGCCCCAGAGACAGGCCAAGAGGGCCCCCAGAGAGGCCCAAGAGAGGCCCGAGAGGGAGCACGAACCGACGCTTCGAGCTCTCCGCCTCAAGACGACCTCCGAGACAGCCAGCAGGCCCCCAAGAAACCCAACAGACGCTGCAGGAGGCCCCCAAGCTGCCCAGACCAGGCCCTAAGAGGCCCCCGGGGGGGCCTCGGGGGCCCAAAGCCATCCCAATACCGAAGATCCTCTGACCAACAACCAAAACCGAAGAGGCCACTGACGGAATAGGTCGAAGGACACTGGGTATATGAGCACACGTATACACAAATAACTATAATAGAACCATCACGACGACCCAAGAGCCCTGCAAGACGCTCCAAGAGGCCTACCAGGAGCACTCCCAAGACGGCCCCAAGAAGCTAAATTCATTGATTTCCTATTGTTTTTTGAATGATTTTGGCGTTCTCGACTCTTCCCCTTCCCGACGCTCCAAGACACGCCAAGAGGCCCCCAAGATCGCCCTAAGACGGCCCAAGAGGCCTCCAAGAGGGTCCCAAAACGGCCCAAGAAAGCGCAAAGACGGCCCAAGACGTCTCCAAGACGGTCCTAGAGGCGCCCAAGACGGCTCCAAGAGGGTGCCCAGATGCGGGACCCGACCTGACATGTCGAGCTCTCAGCCCTGAGAGGCTCCCAGGAGGCCCCAAGAGGCTCCAGGAGGCCCCCACGAGGCCCCAAGGAGGCCCCCAGGAAGCTCCAAGAGGCCCCCAAGCGACTCCCAACAGGCCCCCAAACTGCTCCCCAGAGACCCGAAAGAGCGCTCCAAAGAGACCCCACGAAGCATCCCAGGAATCTCACCCACGTCAGCGTCGTCGTCGTCGTCGTCGTCGCCGCCGCCGTCGTCGTGTGACAGCACACCCGACGACGACGATGACGACGACGACGACGACCACAGCGCACTGAGCCAGCCCGCGCCGCCCCGCCGGTGGGCCGAGCCGCGCCCGCCGCCCCCATGAAGGCGGCACGGGCGCCCCTGGCCGCAACCTCACGCCTCGTGAGGCCTCCAGGGTCGGCGGCACCGGCCGTAAGGCCTTCGCAATAACTATAATAGAACCATCACGCGCTTCGCGCGCGCTCAAAGCTCTAGCTGGGGTCACGATCATCGTCATCATTGTAATCCTCATCCCCATCATCTTCATCTTCATCGTCATGGTCATGGTCACCTTCACCATCACCATCACAACAATCCTCCTCCTCCTCCTGCTCCTTCTCCTCCTCCTCCTCCTTGTCCTCCTCCTCCTCATCTCTTCTCTCAGCGCACTCAGTACACGGGTGCCTACTGGAACGCGTGCCGGAAGCCTTTTTGGAAGCATTGTGGCAGTCTCTGGAGCCTCTCCATGCCTTCCTTTGGAGTCCTTTGGGGCCTTTGTTGGCCCGTCTGAGGGCCCATTTCGGCCGTTCCGGGTCCCTATTGGCTCGTCGTGGGGAGCTCACCCCGTCTTGGGGCCCTCCTGGGGCCCTCTCCGACCATGTAGGAATCCTCTGGTGGCCCCCTCGGCCTTCCTGGGGGCTCTCTTGGGCCGTCTTGTAGCTCTTCTGTGCCGCTTGAAGCTCTCTTCAGCCCATCTTGGAACCCGCTTTGGGGCCTCTGGGGCCGTCTGGGGCCCATTTTGGTAACCTCTTGAGCCGTCGCGACCGCTGGTAGAACTGAAAAGCGAAGCTCCCAGAAATCGGAGAGGTTGGGGGGTGAGTCCGACGTCAAACGGAGACCCCCCTACCGGGAAATCGATTTCGGTTTCGGGTTCGTGTCGTGCGTGCCGCGCGTGCGTGCGGGCGATGCGAAACAGCGTGGGCGGGCGAGAGGAAATCCTCCTGTGGCTGGGCCGCAGCCGGACCAAATGTTTCTCCTCAGGCGGCAGGTGGCCCGCGGTGTCCCGCCGGTGTCCCGAAATCCTCCTATGGCTGGGCCGCGGCCGGACCAAATGATTCTCCTCCGGCGGCCGGTGGCGCGCGGCCGGTGTCCCGCCGGTGTCCCGAAATCCTCCTGTGGCTGGGCCGCGGCCAGACCAAATGATTCTCCTCCGGCGGCCGGTGGCGCGCGGCCGGTGTCCCGCCGGTGTCCCGCTGGTGTCCCGAAATCCTCCTGTGGCTGGGCCGCGGCAGGACCAAATGATGTCCCACTTTTGCCCATTGCTGCCCCCCCAAACCTTCTTATCACCCGCAGGGTGATCGTATAGGTATACGTTTCTCCAAAAGAAATGCTTGATTTTGCCTTTGGAGGGCCTTCTCAGTGGCCTATTGGCCAGTCGTGGGGGGGTCCTTTTAGGCCTTTCGCGGCCCGTCTGGGAGCCCATTTGGGTTGTCCCAAGCCCTTCTTGGCATGTCATGGGTAGCTGAGCTGTCTTGGGGCCCTCATGGAGCCATCTCCGACCATGTAGGGGTCCTCTGGTGGCGCCCTCGGGTCCCCTGGGGACTCTCTCGGGCTGTTTTGGAGCTCTCTTGTGCTGCTCGACTCTCTCTTGAGGCTGTCTCGGAGCCCTCTTAGGGGCCTCGTGGACCGTGTGGCGCTGATTTGAGGAGCCTTTGGGGCCGACGTGGCCGCCGACGGAACATAAGAAGTTCATCTCATGGACATGTACGTTTTTTCCATTGAACATGCTAGTTTTTTTGCACCTGGGAGCCTTCTCAGCGGCCTCCTGGACCGTCTTCAGGGAGTCCTGGTAGGCCTTTTTTGGACCCTCTGGGAGCCCAGTTCGGCCGTTCCGGGTCCCTCTTCGCCTGTCATGGGGACCTGAGGCCGTCTTGGGGCCCTCGGGGGACCCTCTCCGAACATGTAGGGATCGTCTGGTGGCTCCATCGGGGTTCCTTGGTACTCTCTTGGGCCGTGTTGGAGCTCTATTGTGCTGCTCGAAGCTCTCTTCAGGCCGTCTGGGGGCCCTCTTGGGGGCCTCTTGGACCGTCTGGGGCTCATTTTGGGAGTCTCTGGGGCCGTCGCGGCCGCTGGCAGGACTGAAAAGCAAATATTCGGGAAATGCACGTTT